TTGACCCGGCGAAACTGGGCAGTCTCTTATCCCAGATTCAGAAAGCGCGTACCGAGCTGCTTGGTAGCTAACCATACGGCTTATGTTGTCTTAAAGTGCGCCCCTTGACGGATAACCGTTGTGGGGGGACGCATGTTACCAGCCATTTTGGCTCGTACACATGTAATGCCTCATGCCTCATGCCTCCGTACCGATGGAGAGCTGTGTCGATGCCCCACTGCGTCCCCTCGTGCAGCCGATAGGCGTCACTCATTATTGAAGTCCCCTTCCCAGGATTCACACAAGCCCTACACCTGCGATTCACACAAGCCCTACACCTACACCCTCGTCAGCTTCGACCGATGCGTTACCTGGTGTTACTTTCAGTTACGCCGCCTCCAACTTCTCCTGTTTGGACAGTTCCGGTTTGCTTTGAACACAAGTTAGCGGCACAGGACACACATAAATACGTAACGAGTGCAGATGGTAAACAAGAGTGCAGGAGGGTTAAAATAAAAGAGCACCTTATGTACTACGGTGGGTGAGCTGCTTATTACAAACAGTATCTCTCCCGCTTAGCTATTATATAAGTATTCAAGAACTTCGCGCACGGTAGATGCACGACTGTTGATCGCAATCACCGTCCGCTGGCTGGAGGGGGCTGCCGTGGATGGCGTGCTTACACGTATACCTGGCCCTGACCTCATCCGCGTCATCAAATGCACTGCACCCATCTATTTTCTGAGCGAGCAAAAACATAGCCCAGCTTGCAATGCATCGAATAACGAATCGTCCTGAATCGTCCACACCCTTTCATGAGCCTCTGTTTAGGGTTTTAGGGTTTAGGGTTTTATGGTTTTTATGGTTTTTATGGTTTTTAGGATTTCTTTGGGTTTTTGGGGTTAGAAGGGTTAGGCCCGTGGGCCCGTCGGCCCGTGGGCCCGTCGGCCCGTGGGCCCGTGGGGCCCGTGGGCCGGTAGGCCCGTGGGCCCGTGGGCCCGTGGGCCCGTGGGTCGGTAGACCCGTGGGCCCGTGAGCCCGTGGGCCCGTGGGCCCGTCGGCCCGTGGGCACGTCGACCTGTGGGCCTTTCAACCCGTGGGCCCGTGGGCCCGTGGGCCCGTCGGCCCGTGGGCCCATCGGCCCGTGGGCCCGTGGGTCGGTAGGCCCGTGGGCCCGTCGGCCCATGGGCCCGTGGGCCCGTCGGCCCGTGGGCCCGTCAGCCCGTGGGCCCGTGGGCCCGTAGGCCCGTGGGCCCGTGGGGCCCGTGGGCCGGTAGGCCCGTGGGCCCGTGGGCCCGTCGGCCCGTGGGCCCGGCGGACCGTGGGCCAATCGGCCCATGCGCCCGTGGGTCGGTAGGCCTGTCGGCCCGTGGGCCCGTCGGCCAGTGGGCCCGTCGGCCCGTGGGCCCATCGGCCCGTGGGCCCGTGGGTCGGTAGGCCCGTGGGTCGGTAGGCCCGTGGGCCCGTGGGTCGGTAGGCCCGTGGGCCCGTGGGCCCGTGGGCCCGTGGGTCGGTAGACCCGTGGGCCCGTGAGCCCGTGGGCCCGTGGGCCCGTCGGCCCGTGGGCCCGTCGACCTGTGGGCCTTTCAACCCGTGGGCCCGTCGGCCCGTCGGCCCATCGGCCCGTGGGCCCATCGGCCCGTGGGACCGTCGGCCCATGGGCCCGTCGGCCCGTGGGCCTGTCGGCCCGTGGGCCCATCGGCCCGTGGGCCCATGGGTCGGTAGGCCCGTGGGTCCGTGGGCCCGTGGGCCCGTGGGCCTGTGGGCCCGTGGGTCCGTGGGCCCGTGGGCCCGTGGGCCCGTGGGCCCGTAGGCCCGTGGGCCCGTGAGGCCCGTGGGCCGGTACGCCCGTGGGCCCGTGGGCCCGTCGGCCCGTGGGCCCGGCGGACCGTGGGCCCATCGGCCCATGGGCCCGTGGGTCGGTAGGCCCGTCGGCCCGTGGGCCCGTCGGCCCGTGGGCCCGTCGGCCCGTGGGCCCGTCGGCCCGTGGGCCCGTCGGCCCGTGGGCCCGTCGGCCCGTGGGCCCGTGGGCCCGTCGGCCCGTGGGCCCATTGGCCCGTGGGCCCATCGGCTCGTGGGCCCGTGGGTCGGTAGGCCCGTCGGCCTGTGGGCCCGTCGGCCAGTGGGCCCGTCGGCCCGTGGGCCCATCGGCCCGTGGGCCCGTGGGTCGGTAGGCCCGTGGGTCGGTAGGCCCGTGGGCCCGTGGGTCGGTAGGCCCGTGGGCCCGTGGGCCCGTGGGCCCGTGGGTCGGTAGACCCGTGGGCCCGTGAGCCCGTGGGCCCGTGGGCCCGTGGGCCCGTCGGCCCGTGGGCCCGTCGACCTGTGGGCCTTTCAACCCGTGGGCCCGTCGGCCCGTGGGCCCATCGGCCCGTGGGCCCGTCGGCCCGTCGGCCCGTGGGCCCGTCGGCCCGTGGGCCCGTGGGCCCGTGGGCCCGTCGGCCCGTGGGCCCATCGGCCCGTGGGCCCATGGGTCGGTAGGCCCGTGGGCCCGTGGGTCCGTGGGCCTGTCGGCCCGTGGGCCCATCGGCCCGTGGGCCCGTGGGTCGGTAGGCCCGTGGGTCGGTAGGCCCGTCGGCCCGTGGGCCCGTCGGCCCGTGGGCCCGTGGGCCCGTAGGCCCGTGGGCCCGTGGGGCCCGTGGGCCGGTAGGCCCGTGGGCCCGTGGGCCCGTCGGCCCGTGGGCCCGTCGGCCCGTGGGCCCATCGGCTCATGGGCCCGTGGGTCGGTAGGCCCGTCGGCCCGTGGGCCCGTGGGGCCCGTGGGCCGGTAGGCCCGTGGGCCCGTGGGCCCGTCGGCCCGTGGGCCCGTTGGCCCGTGGGCCCATCGGCTCATGGGCCCGTGGGTCGGTAGGCCCGTCGGCCTGTGGGCCCGTCGGCCCGTCGGCCCGTCGGCCCGTCGGCCCGTGGGTCCGTGGGCCCGTCGGCCCGTGGGCCCATCGGCCCGTGGGCCCGTGGGTCGGTAGGCCCGTGGGCCCGTCGGCCCGTGGGCCCGTGGGCCCGTGGGCCCGTCGGCCCATCGGCCCGTGGGCCCGTGGGTCGGTAGGCCCGTGGGCCCGTCAGCCCATGGGTCAGTGGGCCCGTACACCTGTGGGCCCGTGGGCCCGTGGGCCCGTGAGCCCGTCGTCCCGTGGGCCCATCAGCTCGTGGGCCCGTGGGTCGGTAGGCCCGTCGGCCTGTGGGCCCGCCGGCCCGTGGGCCCGCCGGCCCGTGGGCCCGTCGGCCCGTGGGCCCATCGGCCCATGGGCCCGTGGGTCGGTAGGCCCGTCGGCCCGTGGGCCCGTCGGCCCGTGGGCCTTTCAAAAGCAATTAACCTGCAGACTCCTACTTTCGAACGACCACAAAGTCCTCTCGTTTATGCTGTAACCATGGAACAACTGCTTAAGTTGTCAGAATGAGGATAACGGCTTCGTTGCCTATGACGTTGTCTTCGCTGTAAAACTTACGATAGCCAATAGGAATCTTGCATATCCAAATCCATCGTCACCCATGACGTCAAACTAAAGGCATTTAATGATATGCATACCGCAATGTCAGTATGCACCTATACACTGCTATGTATGCCATCATGCGCTGCACGCGATATTCACCCGATCTTGCCCTGTCGCCCCGATTGTGCATCTGTTTTAGTACTCAAATGGTATAGAACGTCTAGGCAATCTCTTAATGCCAAGTATTGAAACAATGGAGCATCACCTGTACTTCCCGCCCAGTGAAATGCAAAGCAAGTCGAACTGTGGCGCACATTACATGCGTTCTTCCGCCTTCGTAAGTAAATGATATGACCTTTATTATATTTACAAAAGGATCAAAAACAACGAAGTACTGCAAGACGGGCGTACGGGGGCGAGATGGACGAGATGGACGAGCGAGTGAAGTGGACTTTGGGACCAGCGGTAATCATGCTCTGACCTTTTCTGCCTCAAATGTAAAGTATGCCGCAAGATTGTGTTTGATGCTTGATTTCTGCGTTTTTGTTTTATGCCGGATATATGTAAACAGCCCCTTATGTCTGGTTTCCGTATTAATGTTTTGAACAGGACAAATGTAATCGGGCCCTTACAAAACTCTTGATTTAATACTGTACAAAGACTATGAAGCCCTGCTACCCTGCTACCCTGACTCGCGGCATAGCATCTCCCCGCTGTGTCCTCATCGCTCACGAACGGCCGCAGCATCAGAAGGGCATCACGCTCAAGGCATTTCCACCAGATGCCGCGGCACCTGTGCTGGAAACGCGAACAAAGTTAATCTCGGCTGGAATTCCCGACGCGCACGTTGACGCCATCCTCGCGAATTTCATCCCTTCGAAGTCCAGCGTTGCAACTAAGGAGGACATCAAGGCGCTGAAGGATGACATCAAGGAGCTGCGGCTTTACCTTTTTCTTGTGTTTGCGGGGATGCTCCTGAGCGTCACGCCGGAGAGCCCGCTCGGGACCATCACCGCGGGTCTCGGGAAGGTGGTCAAGCCATAAGGTACGCACCGGGGTGGCGGGGCGCGGAAGCGGGGTTGCATCATGCAAAGCGGGTGAACCGGTGGCTGAAAGCTTGAGATGAACCCTCTGCCAGGAATCATGGGGCTCTCAACATTAATCGTCCTGTGTATCGTTTCTCATCCTGCCTTCCGCATCACGCCGGCACCACCTGGTGCTACCTCCCGCGGAAGCTGACGGTGTTAGCGGGAGCACGACCCATTCCGCCCGGGCCACCCGAGAGGGCCCCGGAAGCGGCGTCCAAGGCGGGAAGCTTACGTGGTTTGGCATCAACCCCAATAACGGATCTGGAGGACAGGCGGCGCTTGCTATGTGGTGTGTTAATTAATTAATTAATTTTACGCGGAGACAGACTCTCGCGTGTGTTAAGGGGACCGGGCCTGAGGAGTATATTTTTTCCATTCGGCGTGATTATCAGGGGGAATCAGACCTGACGGGCGGACTGATTGATCTGGGACGTTTTCTCGAGCGCCCCTGCACGATCCGGAGTTTAGCGGGCCGGACTCACCGTTAATCACCCTGGCCACTGCCAGGGGCCAGCGGTGGGACTCGAACCCACATCTACCCACGGGATCGAACCCATGACCATCGAAATGACAAGCGAGTGCTCTACCACTTGAGCTACGCTGACGCTATGTGGTGTGTATTGAGGATGTGGAGCAGCAGCTGGGGACGAGGACCTCATGGCATTAGGGGAGAAGGGCTAGACTAGGGTGCAGGGCGGTGGAATTCGGATCTTGGAGCATACCGGGCGCTGGGTACTTCCCAGGGGCTATACCCGCGGGCCCCCTGCTGATCTCCCTGGGCCCGCAGTGGGGCCACACTTCGCTGCGCTTCGATGTGCTTCGATGCGCTTCGCTTGACAAACTTTGTAACACACGTTAACAGGTACCACTTTCTTTCGGGGCCGCAAGGGTGGGGGATACAAGGGCTGACAGGGAAGGTCTCGTGCAGAAACGGCCCAGCCCAGAGACAGGTACCACTTTCTTTCGGGGCAGCACGGGTGGGAGATTCAGGGGATGACAGGGAAGGTGTCGCGCAGAAACGGCCTAGCCCACAGACAGATACCACTTTCTTTCGGGGCCGCACGGGTGGGGGATTGCGAGGGGTAGGGATCCGGAGGGAGAAAGGGAATGTATGATGCAGCAAAGACAGCACACTGAGACAGGTATCACTTTCCACTGGGCTGCGAGGGATATGTACACTTTCCAAGTTTCACTCATGTGTAGGGTTGTATGAATGCGCCAAGTTGTGTGAAAATGCTGGCCTTGAGACGCTCGGGAGGCTCGAGCCAGCTGGACAGCTGGCCGGTGCGCCGGATGCTGGCCGGGTATTGCAACTGTCGAACAGGAACCAACTCGGGGCTTTATAATTAATCTACACCGAGCACACGTTTATCAAGGCATTTGAGTTTTGCAATGACCGCTTAAGGCATCGGCGATAGAGGAGGGCGACGATCGGACGTTCAAATGTTGCTTCTGAAAGGGCCGTGGTGGCTGGGCAAATTCAAGCCATCGACAGTAAGTTGGGTCGAACTTTCTGTACCCAGGCAAGCACAACGCATTTTCAACATCGTCTGTATTGCTGTGTGTACGTGTGTACGTGTGCGTGTGTACGTGTGCGTGTGTACGTGTGCGTGTGTACGTGTGCGTGTGTACGTTGTGCGTGTGTACGTGTGCGTGTGTACGTGTGCGTGTGTACGTGTGCGTGTGTACGTGTGCGTATGTACGTGTGCGTATGTACGTGTGTGTGTACGTGTGCGTGTGTACGTGTGCGTGTGTACGTGTGCGTGTGTACGTGTGCGTGTGTACGTGTGCGTGTGTACGTGGTGCGTGTGTACGTGGTGCGTGTGTACGTGTGCGTGTGTATGTGTGCGTGTGTACGTGTGCGTGTGTACGTGTGCGTGTGTACGTGTGCGTGTGTACGTGTGCGTGTGTACGTTGTGCGTGTGTACGTGTGCGTGTGTACGTTGTGCGTGTGTACGTGTGCGTGTGTGCGTTGTGCGTGTGTACGTGTGCGTGTGTACGTGTGCGTATGTACGTGTGCGTATGTACGTGTGCGTGTGTACGTGTGTGTGTGTACGTGTGCGTGTGTACGTGTGCGTGTGTACGTGTGCGTGTGTACGTGTGCGTGTGTACGTGTGCGTGTGTACGTGGTGCGTGTGTACGTGGTGCGTGTGTACGTGTGCGTGTGTATGTGTGCGTGTGTACGTGTGCGTGTGTACGTGTGCGTGTGTACGTGTGCGTGTGTACGAGTGCGTGTGTACGTGTGCGTGTGTACGAGTGCGTGTGTACGTGTGCGTGTGTACGTGTGCGTGTGCGTATGTACGTGTGTACGTGTGCGTGTGCGTGTGTACGTGTGTGTGTACGTGTGCGTGTGTACGTGTGCGCGTGTACTTGTGCGTGTGTACGTTGTGCGTGTGTACGTGTGCATGTGTACGTGTACGTGTGCGTGTGTACGTGTGCGTGTGTACGTGTGCGTGTGTACGTGTGCGTGTGTACGTGTAAGTGTGTACGTGTAAGTGTGTACGTGTGCGTGTGTACGTGTACGTGTGCGTGTGTACGTGTGCGTGTGTACGTGTGTGTGTACGTGTGCGTGTGAACGTGCGCGTGTGTACGTGTGCGTATGTACGTGTGTACGTGTGCGTGTGTACGTGTGCGTATGTACGTGTGCGTATGTACGTGTGTGTGTACGTGTGCGTGTGTACGTGTGCGTGTGTACGTGTGCGTGTGTACGTGTGCGTGTGTACGTGTGCGTGTGTACGTGGTGCGTGTGTACGTGGTGCGTGTGTACGTGTGCGTGTGTATGTGTGCGTGTGTACGTGTACGTGTGCGTATGCGTGTGTACGTGTGCGTGTGTACGTGTGCGTGTGTACGTTGTGCGTGTGTACGTGTGCGTGTGTACGTTGTGCGTGTGTACGTGTGCGTGTGTGCGTTGTGCGTGTGTACGTGTGCGTGTGTACGTGTGCGTATGTACGTGTGCGTATGTACGTGTGCGTGTGTACGTGTGTGTGTGTCGTTACAGTATCTGACCGGGCCCTGACGCTGGCCAGGGGCTGCTAACCCAGCCCCGACGGAAAGACCGCCTAAGCACTCTCCCCCTTGCGGTGGGAGAAGGGCGTGAGGGGCCGCTACCCCCTCCTGCTCGACGCGGAGCTGGCTGCGTCGTACACCCCATATACGGGTGTACGGCGCAGCGGCTCCCCAAAGGCTTGAGCTCACAGCCTGCCATATACGGCAGCTGGGCCCTTCGTCCGCACAAACAGCAGTCGCGCCGGCGCGCTACACGGCGCCCGCGCTGTCCTGCCCGCCCTGAAGTCCTTGCAGCGCCGGGGCGCCCGGCCGGCCTGCTACCGGCTGGCGGTGCTCCTCTAGGCGCGAAAACAAAGCGCTGAGAACCTGCCCCGAGCTTGGTCCGGCTCGTGGGCGGTCAGCACCAAAGGAGAACCCAAGACAGCGCGCGTCCTACCCCTGCTACTACTCCTACTACGACGGCCCCGGAGAGGCCGGGGGGTGGCCCCTAGAGGCCGAGCTCCAGAGCTCCGCTTGGCCTCGAGGCGGCAGGAGGTCGGGCGCGGGCCTTGCGGCAGCGGGCTAGGTGACGGGGCTATAGTTCGCACTAGGCGGCACCTCGCCAACTCGCCTCACTCTCGCTATACCCGCTCCCTAAAGCCTCCCTCGCCTACAAAAGGCAGCCCGCGGCGGTCTCTGCACCCTAAGTCCTCTCGGACCCAAAGGAACCCCCCCTCATCCCCTCCTCTCACGCCTCCCTGCCTCGACGCCCTAAGTTCCCTCCCTCACCCCTAAAGCCCCTTCATCCCCTCACTCCACGACCCCTCCCTCTCCCTCCATACCCATCCCTGCGTGCTGCACACACTGAATGTGGCCGTTGACCACCGCCAGGATGGGGTGGTCAGGCCCTACCCCCTCCCATCCCCGCCTTGGCACGTCTAGCTCCGCAAACCCCCGCACACGCTGCCAAAAATCTAGTGCTGCGCGCGCCTTGGCCACCTCGACTGGGTCTGGGGCGTCCGGGGCGGTGGGTGAGTTCCTGACTGCCCACAGCCCCACGCGCGCCCGTTCCATGGCCGTGAGTGCCGCCAGGCAGATCACGTCCCACACGCACTGCTGCACGCCTGGCGGTGGCTCCGCCAGCCACACGTTTGCCCGGGTGATGGGCCCGGGCACGTGGGCAGCGATCTGCTGCACCACCGCTTGCGCCACCGGGCACTCCCAGAAGTGGTGTGCACGCGGCGAGCATGCGTGTGGGCCGGCTCCCCCGTACGCGCCGCACTTGCATTGTTCTGGTGCTGCTCCCCTGATGTGGCTGTTGCCGGGAAGCGGCACGCCGTCCTGTGCCAGCCGCCAGAGCGTCTCAAAGTGTTCGCGCTCCCATTTGATGGGCCACATTCGCCGGAGCATTGCCAGTACACTTGCTGCTGGCGCCACTTCGGCGGCGGCTGGCTGATGTCCCGGTGGGTGGGCTCCTGCTGCTGCTGCCGCCGCTGCGGGCTGCTCCCGGGCTTCCCGCTCGTAGGCTGCGTGCAGGCGGGCCCGGCGCTCCGTTACCGGCTGCATCTGCATTTGGGTGGCTTGGCGGACGGAGAGGTCGCGCAGCTTGATGCTGAGTGACCCCCCAAACCGCCAGCCCACCCGCCCCACGAACCGAGCTCGTATCGTCTCCTCCGTATCCAGCCCTGCCGCGCGTTCCGGGTGCGCCAGCACCGTCGCTGCTGCTGCACGCCATTCCGGGCTAATATCCGCCGTGAGGCGGTTGATGGCGTCGATGGTCGTCGTCCGCCTGAAGCCTGTCAGGTCGCTGGGGTCAAGGTTGGCGGTTACCCAGGCCTCCCACTCGCCAGCTGCTCGCGGGGCGGATGCGGCGGCCTGCGTCACCCTCATTAGGTCACCCACCGTGCGCAACGCCCTGCATGCCGCCAGACGCCTGTGGCGGCTCTCTAGTCCTGGCCTAGGAAGCGGGTTGGGAGCCATGTCCCAGTCCTCCTCCTCGGGCGCGAAGTCTGGATCTGCCGCCTGCGCGTCCGCTGCATCCCCCGCTTCCGCTGCCCCGCTGGTCGGTTGCGCACCGTTCGGCAAAAGGGGGTTGCCCCAAAGCGGGATATTAAGGCACCAGTCCCCGGCGGCCGGCAGCGGCGTCGTGTCAACATCTTGCACGGGGGGGAGGTAGCTGAGGGCGACGAGGAGTGTCGTGACGTCTGCGGGCAGGGGGTCCGTTCCTGGGTGGGGCATCCCTCCCTGCGCCACACCCGTGGTGAGCACGGATCCGGGGCTCAGCAGCGGGTGGTAGCCACGGAGCAGCTGGGCGAACGTTCGTACCGACGAGTGGGCGTTGTCTGCTGGCTGGCTGGCGGTCCGGGCGAGCTTGGCCGCCTTCACCGCCTCCCGTGCGCGGGTGTGCAGGGTGAGCGGCAGCAGCCCGCATCCGCCGTCTCGCGCCGCGCCCCACATGAGCTGCCCTGGGAGGCCGGTGAGGCGCTGACATGGCTGCATGGGGCTGACCCTGCGGTCGCCTGCCTGTGCTGCCCATCTCTCCACCTGGCGGGCCTCTTCCCCCCCTCCTCGGCCGCCGTGCTCCCAGTGGTACGTCCTGATCTGTAAGGCGTATGCCGAT